CATAAAGCATGGAACAGACTGATGAATTCAGAAGGAAGGTGGGGGGTGGAGGGGTTGGGAAGTGATTAACCGGGGAACTTATATGCATATATGCATAACCCATGGACACACATAGTAGTGTGGTCAAGGTCTGGGAGGGGCAGGTGCCAGGTGGAGGGGGTCAATGGGAAAAATAACAACAGCAAAGGGGACACCTGTAACACTTTCAACAATAAAGACAAATTTAAAAATAAATAAATAAAATATCAGAAAACATTATAATCTACACTAATAAAACACAAACATGCAAATTGACCATACCTTCGCTATACCTTAAGCCACGCCCATCAGCCAATCAGAGCGACTATATGCAAATTAACCCAACCAAGATGGCAGCGGGCAGCCAAGGGGCTGGAGCAAGCAGGAGGCTTGGTCGCCCCAATGATGGAGGAAGCCAAGCTTCCCACTTGCCACTACAGGCTCTGAGCTCCACTCAAAGCAACAAAGTTTCAATTATAGAAGATAAATAAACCCCAGATACCTTCTTTCAGCTGGCCGTGGCCATGGAACTGGAGTGAGCAGGAGGCTTCCCTCCCACCCGCCCTGGCCAGCTCTGAGCTCCTCTCAAGACTACAAAGTTTCAATCATAGAAGGTAAATAAATCCCAGAATAAAAAAAAAAGAAAAGAAAAGAAAGAGAGGCTGGGAGCTTCCACTGCCAGGGGGCTTGCCAGCCTGAAAATGGCCCTCAGCCCCTCACCCAGACTGGCCAGGCACCCCAGTGGGAACCCCCGACCCTAAAGGGGGTGTGGCCAGCCTGAAAACAGCCCCTCACCCAGGCAGGCCAAACCTCCATGGGGTGATGGTCCCCACTGTGGGGAGCTTGACCAGCCTGCAAACAGCCATCAGCCTCTCACCCAGGCTGGCCAGGCACCCCAGTGGGACCCCCACCCTGATCTGGGACACCCTTCAGGGCAAACCAGCCGGCCCCCACCCATGCACCAGGCCTCTATTCTATATAATAAAAGGGTAATATGCAAACTGACCCCAAGCAGAATGACTGGGAATGACTGGTCACTATGACACACACTGACCACCAGGGGGCAGATGCTCAATGCAGGAGCTGCCCCTTGGTGGTCAGTGCGCTCCCACAAGGGGAGCTCTGCTCAGCCACAAGCCAGGCTGATGGCTGCCAGTACAGAGGTAGTGGTGGGAGCGCTAAGGATGTCTGACTGTAGCTTAGGCCTGTTCCCCGCAAGTGGACATCCCCTGAGGGCTGCCAGGCTGCCAGAGGGATGTCTGACTGCCAGCTTGGGTCCGATCCTTAAGCCAGCAGGTGGACATCCTCCAAGGGGTCCCAGACTGTAAGAGGGCATAGGCCGGGCTGAGGGACCCCCCTGAGTGCACAAATTTTTGTGCACCGGGCCTCTAGTAATATATAATCCGATGCAGGGTTAAGTGGAGCACAATTTAAGAACTCAAGCATAGAAAACCATTTCGAAAGACATTCACCAAAATGGCAAGGATGCTTGTCTCTGGGTACCTGCATTTAGGTAACTTTTATTTTGTTTTAATATTTTTCTCTAATATCAAGAATTTTTACACATATTATTTTACAGTTTGAATAGGTAATATAATCTTTTTCATTTTGAAAGAAAAAGAAAAGGCTTAAAAGAAACCCAAATTTAGGACTTTTAACAATAAATAAATCACCATCAGTTTAACTAACTTGTCACCAAAATGTTAATGACATTTGTTTTGTAAATAAGCACGTTGTCAACATTAACTAGAAATGTTCTCCCAGCCACATGGGGGAACTTGGGCTGATTCTGTCCTACTCGTTTCTCAAGTACTAGTTTATATGCATTTCTGTACAGATACATTCGTCTAGACCAGTGGTTCTCAACCTTCCTAATGCCGCGACCCTTTAATACAGTTCCTCATGTTGTGGTGACTCCCAATTTCATTGTTACAAATTGAACATAATTAAAGCATAGTGATTAATCATAAAAACAATATGTAATTACATATATGTTTTCCGGTGGTCTTAGGCGACCCCTGTGAAAGGGTCGTTCGACCCCCAAAGGGGTCGCGACTCACAGGTTGAGAACCGCTAGACTAGAGGTTTCCCAGCAAAGAACACCTGTTGTGTTCCACTAGGCAAGGGGATAGAGGGAGGTTCAGAGATGAGAAAGGCATGAATGGACAGACAGCTGGGCAGGTTAGCATTATTATAGACCAGCATCCCCACCCCCACCCCAACCCCAGTTGCATCTGCTCTCATCTTTAAAGACTGTGTTTCTGTAAAAGTAATGGTGCTGTCGTACAGTTCTATGGCACATGACAACATTTCAGTCAATGGCACACCCCACACACAACAGTAGTTCCGTAATATTATAATGGAACTGAAAATTCCTATAGCCTAGTGACATCATAGCCATCATAAAGTCACATGTTTGTGATGATGCTGGTAAAAACAAACCTGCCTTTCTAGTCTTATCAGAGTGTAGCACATACAATTAGGTATGGTACATAATACTTGATAACAATAATAAATGCCTATGTTATTGGTTTATGTATTTACTATATGATACTTTTTATAGTTATTTTAGAGTATATTTTTCACTTATTAAAAAAACATTTTCTGTAAAACAGTATGCCAGGTTATGCCAAAGCACTCTCATATACCTCATTTTTATTACAACTCTTGAGTGCGTTATTTTCTCTTGTGCTTTGAGGTAATCTCATGCTGTTTTGTACAGTAACATGCTGTACATGTTAGTAGCCTAGAAGCTACAGGCTATACCATAAAGCTTAGATGTTTAGTAGGCAATGCCATCTAAGTTTGCATAAGTGCATTTTATGATGTTTATACAACAACAAAATCGCATTTCTCAGAAGATATTCCTGGTGTTAAGAGGATCATGACTGTAGTAGCAGTGTTGTTTCAAAACGGGAAGAAAGGCCCAGCTGGTGTGGCTCAGTAGTTGAGCATTGACCTATGAACTAGGAGGTCACGGTTCAATTCTCAGTCAGGGCACATGCCCAGGTTGTGGGCTCGATCCCCAATGGGGGCATGAAGGAAGCAGCCAGTTAATGATTCTCTCTCATCACTGATGTTTCTATCTCTCTCTCCCTTCCTCTCTAAAATCAATAAAAATATATTTAATTTTTTAAAAGACAATAAGAAAGTAGAGACATTATTCAAGAAAAAATGTGTCTGATTTCTTTTAAATAAAACCATCTCATCATTTTTATTTACATAAACATTTTTCCCAGTATTTGCTGAAAGTACCTATAAAATTTTTTTCCAAAACAAGCTTCAACTTGGGTAAAAATGCAGCTGAGCCTGAATAACCTGAGGTTTTAGGGAGAACATCTCTTCATCAACATCTGTGAACAAAACCAGAGGCAGAAATTTTGCAAGAGATTTGCTCAGATGGTGGCACTTATGGGCATTGACTTATTGGGCAAGCAGCAACTTGGAAGGAGCAATGCTGATTCCAACAGAAATGTTTTATTAAAAGCGTAGGCAAATTACAAACAAATGGTATTCATATCAGAAAGAGCGCTGCCAACAGCCTTAGGGGCAAGAAAAACTTAGAGTAGGGTGGCACCACAGTCTCGTGACTCAAGCTTAGTCAAAGTGTTATGTCGGAGTCTTTCAAGGTTACTTAAAAAAAATAATCTAAACATCTGGGAGGGACAATTGGTCTGGACATAGAAATTATTAGAACTAACATTGCAAACAAAAATAAGCTTCCACTTAAAGAAAGCCTAATAAATCAGGAGCCCATTGTTACCCAAGAAAGAACTGTCAGTGGCAATCCCAGTAACCACTCCACCTCCCTGGCACAATCCGTAGGCATAATAACTAATTTTCATCCACATGGTTGAATGTGCCAGCTCAGCCAGCAGAGACTAGCTAACACAGAGCTGAGGAGATCATGCTTTTCAACAGTGACTGACTTCTAATCCAGATTAGGGAATGGAATTCAGGCAGGACTTATGTTTACGTCATGCTATCCAAGACAACTTACATGTTCTGAAAACCCAATCTGCGTCAGACGGCTGCATCTGTCTCATTTTTTCCGTGGGAAGGGAAAGTAATTTGTGTAAGAAAGACAACCTATCAGAAGAAGCCTTCCCAGATTCCCCTAGAAGTTATTCATCTCTCCCTTCACTTTAACATGTTCTTGGTATTTCTGTTTGTATTTGAGAACACAGATCTAATTTTTCATATTTCTGTCCTTCCATGTATCTTTTTAACAGTGAAAATAAAGGCAAACATGGAGCATCATTAATCAAAAGAAAATGTTACTTAAGTTGTTCTTCCCAACTTGAGGCAAAAAGCCACCTAATCTGTTTAGAGCCATGCCAGCTACGTAATGGACACTCAGGAAAGATGACTTAAATACAACTAAATTGACAGTCCCACTTTGCATGTGTAATTTTCTGCTTTTTTTTTTTTTTTAGATTGTAGCCAATACTTCTAACATGTTTGTATAGCACTGAATTATAAATATTTTTCAGCTTGAAGAGATTTTAGCAGCATCAAGTAATAGTAAGAACCAACACTTACATTATACTAACAGTTTAGTAGTTATTACTCATTAATCCTCAGAAAAATCAAACAAACTGGACATTTTCATTATCCTCATTTTACAACAGACACTGAGGCACAAGGAGTTAAGTAATATGCTCATCACTATATGAACCAGTAAGTGACAGAATCTGAATTTGAACTCAGGCAGTCTGGCCAAATGGGTTTTGCCCACAGAGCATCCTCCTGCATTTTTGGCTTCACTGCTTCCTTTACAAATAGATTCAGGGAAAACCCTAAAGCCAGAGAAGAGGGCATGCACTCCTGAGCCAAGGTCAATGCTCTTGTTTTCAAACTTGGATCCAATCTAACCAGATACCTGCTACTAGACAGGTTCCCAGAGATGGACCGCAATATTGATTCATAAGCCTCCCAAAGAAGAGATTTAATAGTTCAGAGGAATGTATGATAGCCCTCACCGGCAAGTCCTTCTTCTCATCCGTCAGGTCACTGCTTCCCCATTGCTTTCACTGCACACCGAGGACAGCACCCTCTTCAGAGCAGCCCTTCTATGGTGAGCCCAATGGGAACAGAGGAAGCAGCCCTGAATCAGGCATTAGGCTGTCTGAGTTTCAGTCCTGGCTCTTCACTAACCAGCTTTGTGAATTTACAGAGAACATTCCATCTCTTGTTGTGTAATTTCTTACCTGGAAATTAAATGAGTCAGATAGATTGTTTTTAAAAATCCTTCTAGCACACAGTAGAAGTGCTGGACAAATGTTTGCTGCACTAAATACAGTTCTGGCAAGACATTTAGTGTTTTAGTATTCTCTTGAATACTATCCTTGAGTGTCCTCTTTCAATCATTGATTATGTTGTCTCTGATTTCAAGCTGGGGACTGACAAGAGAGGGACCACAAGTGGCCCTGGGAATCACTCAACTTTCCCAACTGCATTCCTGACATCAATAAGAATCCAGCCCCTCATCTCAAAAAAGTAATTGTGAAGAATTCTACTAATAATGCTCTTATTCAAATGTGACTCAAGCTTAGTCAAAGTGTAATGTCAGAGTCTTTCAAGGTTACAAAAAAAAACAAAACAAAAAAACAAAACAAAAATAAAAAACCACACTAAACATTTGGGAGGGAAAATTGGTTCTTGACAAAGAAAATATTAGAGTTAGAACTGAAGACAAAAACAAGCTTCCACTTAAAGAAAGCCTAATAAATGGTGCTTGTTAAGCCATAAATTCTTTAGACGCTCTGGAGAGTAAACTGGTATCTGAGGTAATCTGAACTGTAGCTGTCCCCCACCTCTTCTAAAGTCCTGGGGATAAGTGCCCAATTGGCATAGTGTGGGTCTCATGCCCACATACTGAATATACTCAGGGCAAATAGAAGGGTTGGACCCCCTTTGGCTATTATAGTAAAAGGGGAAAACTGGGGACCATTGACATTGAGCCACATATGATAGTTATTCCCCACAAGGAATTTCAGGTTCCACTGCAAAAGGAAAGGAATATGGGATACCAAACCACAAAAAATGTGCACTAAAAGTAATAATGCAGACCTCCTTCCAACTTTTCTTTAGCAAAGTCACAGAGTGACTTTTCATTTGCTATTCTGATGTAAAGTGACTGGCATATTGTGGCCAGATTTCATAGATTACAATCTTCCTGCTGAACCTGAGGATAAGATGTTTGACTGCATTGAAATATATTTTATAAAGAAGCCAGCAGAGCTCTTTAGTTCATTGTTTCCAGGCTTTCCTTATAAAATACCCCTGTTTGGAATTTCACAATCACATTAGTATATTAAAATCTGTGTATCATTCTGAAAAAAAAAAATGAACCTTTTTCATGCTGTTTAATCCAAACTTATTTAACCATGGAATAATTATTTTATTTTTTCACTTTTATTGAGAAATGATTGACATAGATCACTGTATAAGTTTAAGGCATACAGCATGATGGTTTGATTAACTTATACTGTAGAATGATTACCACAATGGGCACAGCTAACATTCATCTTTTCATATAAATACAATAAAAAGAAAAAAATTTCTTTTTTAGGATAAGAACTCTTATAATTTACTCTCTTAATAACTTTCCTATATAGTACACAGTGGTGTCAGCTCCAGTCATCATGTTGTACATTACATCCTTAGTATTTATTTATTTTATAACTGGCAGTTTGTACCTTTTGACGACTTTCCTCCAATTCCTCCTTCCTATTCCCTTAGCCTCTGGTAGCCATAAGGCTGATATCTTCCTCTACAAGTTTGAAGGAGGTTTTTTTGTTGCTTGATTTTTTTGTTTGTTGTTTGTTTTTGTTTGTTTTTGGTTTGGGGGGTTGTTGTTTTTTTAGATTCTATATATAAGTGAGGTCATACAGTATTTTTCTTTCTCTGTTTGACTTACTTCCCTTAGCATAATTTCTTCAAGGACCATCAATTTTGTAAAGATGGTAACATTCCCTCATTTTTCAATAGCTGAATAATATTCCATTGGATAGATGATAGATAGATAGATGATAGATGACAGATAGATCTCACAACTTCTTTATCCATTCACCCATTAATGGACACAGGTTGGTTCTAAATCTTGGCTATCCTATATAATAAAAGAGTAATATATAAATCGAACAACTGGCGGAATGACCAGTGCGGGGGAAGCGGGGTGGGGCCGGTGAGCAGGCAGCATCAGACCAGCCAAGGCATGTGCCAGTGGGCAGACGGAGGAAACAGCGATGAAGGGGGCAGTGACCAGCAGTGGTAGGGTGATGGGGGCGGCACCGTCACCTAATCAGCTGGCCCAGTTGCCTCCTGCAGAGGGAGGCCAGACTGTGGCTTAAGCCGTCAGTAGGACATCCCCTGAGGACTCCCAGGCTGTGAGAGGGCACAGGCTAGGCTGAAGGACACCCACCCCACCCCACCCCCCCACCCCCGCCACTGCACAAATTTTCATGTACCAGGCCTCTAGTTATAAATAATGCTGCTATGCACTTGGGAGTACAGATATCTCTTAGAGTTAATGTTTCCATTTTCTTCAAATAAATACCCAGAAGTAGGATTGCTGGTTCATACAGTAGTTGTATTTTTAATTTTTTGAGGAACCTGTGTATTATTTCTATAGTGCTGCACCAATTGATACTGCCACCAACTGTGCACAAAGGTTCTTTTTTCTCCACATCCTCACTAACTTTTGTTATTTCTTGTCTTTAATAATAGTCCTGTGTGGTGATATCCCATTGAGGTTTTGAGTTACATTTCCTTAATAATTGGTAAAGCTGAGCATCTTTTCATGTACTTGGCCATTTGTATGTCTTTTTTGGACATATAGTTCTATATAGCAGACTCTACGTGTTCATAGAACAGTATCATTTTAAAGGAATGTTTAACAGGGTATATACATATCAGAATAATTTGTGAAAATTTTGTCAAGCTATATATATGTAGCATTCCCAACTCCAGTTGATGGGAGGACAGAAGAGAAGTAAGGGATATCTGTATTTCTTAAATCCCCAGAAGTGACACTCACTCCTACTTGGAAATAAATAACCTAGAGGGAGATCAGAGTCTCCTAGAACCCAGCATGAACCAGTGCCCTCAACTGATATGTAGGAAATATTAGCCTTCTTCTCTTTATTATTCAAAACACAGAGTTATAATTAGGTAATAATTAACAATCTGTACATGCTAGCGGTTTATATTAGAGGGTATACCAAAATAAAACTATTTTCTAGATAATATATGGCCACAAAGAAAAGAAACCTGCAGTAAAATATAACATAGTAAAATTGGGCTGCTATTTCTCATTTAAAAGCTTAACAATTAAAACTTTAAGCTGACCCACTCAGTTTGCTTTCCTCCCAACTGCAGAATATTAGACAGAATTCTTAGAATTTTGTGGATTCATTGGTATGGCTCCTGGGGAGTGTTGTGGGTTTAGAAGTCCTGCCATTCCAGAGTCATGTTTCTTTCTTTAACTGTAATTCTTTGAAGACTGAGTTTTGTTCCTTTCTGGTTTTGATTGCTGCTGTGGATTTTTTTCTCTAGTTTTTGCTTGCTTGTTGTTGTTTATTTCATTATGAATTAGAGCAGGGAGATTCTACAAGGCAGCCTCATTTCTTATCCAGAAACTTTCTCTTAAATTTTGTAATTATGTTTATGAAATTATAATAATTTAACTTTATGTTAATTAGTTCTTTCTATCTCAATTACTTTGCTGAAATATATGGCAGGACTTCTTACATTTATCTACATTGGAGGCTATAGAGCTCTCATTTTGAGAAAGAAAAGGCATGAAACCAGAAATATGAGTCTCATTTTTCAAACAGAATCAGCTTTAATTTTTAAAAAACTGTGAAATCACTCACCTACTATGTTGTACAAACCTTCACTTTGCTGGTGAGAGAAGCTAGAGGCTACAGAACACTTACGACCCAGAGAGCTAATCTGAGGACTACTTTCTAATTATACTCCAGTGTTGCTGATACTGTTTTCTGTTGTGTTTTCCACTACTACATGTAAAGAAATAATAATCCTATTGCTATTAAATTCTTTATTTAATATAAAACATGGTTTTTAAATTTCTCAATGCTTTTATGAATATAAAGAATCATAAAATGTGGTCTTTATGTGATTGTGGTAATTTAAAAACTGGTGACAAAAAAATGTAATTTTTAATCTTTAATTTTCCTCCCCAAAGTTATACCCTCGCTTCCACCAGTTCCATTGTACACTCTCATGGTAGTTGCGGTGTTTGAAACACCAGCGCTCTATCTCTGCTCTGACATATTTAAAACAAAAATTGCTTCTAAAGCCTCAAATCCTGTAACTCAAAACTTTGTTTATTCTCCAACAAGTTCAACTTGTAAAAAAATTGTTATTACACTATTAATCTTAGTTTTCTTCTCCTTTCCCCTTTATCTTGACTTCTTGTCTCTTTACTTATGCTTTTTCCCTTTTATCTGAACTCAATAACTATAATTTTCTGCTCCTTTTTCATAGTGGTCAGGTCATTGTGTACCCTACCAAGGATGCCAAAGAGCATATAAAATGTTTCTCTGACTTCCAAGGTAAATAATTTTGAGCAGTATGCTACAAATGGTGTTCTTCCTCCACTCTCCTCATGTATTTCTATTGGCCCTATGTGAGTTTTGTTCTGTGTTCTTCTCCTCCGGAAAGGAGATCCCTATAAAGACCTGGTGTTTCCAAAAGACTAGGGAAGTTGCAGCTCCTTGGCCCTGCTTCTTCAGTTGGATTCTAGTCAAAATTCCATCTGAGACTCACTGTGAGGAACAGGTTACCATGTGCAGTTTCTAATACAACTCCCAGTGTATTTGAGGCCTTCATGTAGCACAGCTAAACCTACATGCAATGGTCTTCTGATCTCACTCCCTAGATGTTTTATATTCTTACTAGACTGTGCACATGTATAACACATTGCATAGATGCTAAAACTAGTTTTTTTTCCTATTTCTACCCTCTTCACCTTGGTTTTAAATGTCCCAGGATGCAGTGATCACTTACCCTTCTCTCCCTGCTTCCTAACCTGTGAGATCTGAGACCACTGGCATCCACGGAACTTAACTCCCAGGATGGAGAAATCAGGCCACCTGTATCAACATTA